ACAAGCAGTGAAGGAACTCCAAATTATAAAGGAACTTTGGAGGCAAGTCAGCCACGGTGATTGTCGCACCACGCATAAAGTAGAATAAATTTGTTAGCCTGGTCTTGTCTTTGCCACAAATCACGTAAAACTATAAAGAAGGTACCACTATGAACTCTGGAACATGAAAATTCAATAATACTATGGTTGACGACTGACAGTTTAAAAGAGAGACAACCTTCACCTCAGAATCTTGGGCGCGCCGCCTGTAAGCTCTGAGGGAGAGGGAAGCCCCTTAATTTGGCCTATTTCAAAAACAAATGACACTACAAAAATAACCTACAATTATAATTTCAAAAGAGAGACTACCATCACCTCAGAATCTTGGGCGCGCCGCCTGTAAGCTCTGAGGGAGAGGGTAGCCCCATAATTTGGCCTATTTCAGAAACAAATGACAATGCAAAAATAACCTACCATAATAATTTGGATAAATGACCGACATTTTAAAAGAGAGACTACCATCACCTTAGAAACTTGGGCGCGCCGCCTGTAAGCTCTGAGGGAGAGGGTAGCCCCATATTTTGGCCTATTTCAAAACAAATGACAGTACAAAGAAGAACTAAAATAATAATTTCAATAATGACCGACATTTCAAAAGAGAGACTACCATCACCTCAGAATCTTGAGCGCGCCGCCTGTAAGCTCAGAGGGAGAGGGTAGCCCCATAATTAATTTGGCCTATTTCAAAAACAAATGACACTACAAAAATAACCTACAATAATAATTTGGATAATGACCGACATTTCAAAAGAGAGACTACCATCACCTCAGAATCTTGGGCGCGCCGCCTGTAAGCTCTGAGGGAGAGGGTAGCCCCATAATTTGGCCTATTTCAAAAACAAATGACACTACAAAAATAACCTACAATAATAATTTGGATAGATGACCAACATTTTAAAAGAGAGACTACCATCACCTCAGAATCTTGGGCGCGCCGCCTGTAAGCTCCGAGGGAGAGGGTAGCCCCATAATTTGGCCTATTTCAAAACAAATGACAAAACAAAGATGACCTACAATAATAATTTGGATAATGACCGACATTTCAAAAGAGAGACTACCATCACCTCAGAATCTTGGGCGCGCCGCCTGTAAGCTCTGAGGGAGAGGGTAGCCCCATAATTAATTTGGCCTATTTAAAAAACAAATGACACTACAAAAATAACCTACAATAATAATTTGGATAATGACCGACATTTCAAAAGAGAGACTACCATCACCTCAGAAACTTGGGCGCGCCGCCTGTAAGCTCTGAGGGAGAGGGTAGCCCCATATTTTGGCCTATTTCAAAACAAATGACAGTACAAAGAAGAACTAAAATAATAATTTGAATAATGACCGACATTTCAAAAGAGAGACTACCATCACCTCAGAATCTTGGGCGCGCCGCCTGTAAGCTCTGAGAGAGAGAGTAGCCCCATAATTTGGCCTATTTCAAAAACAAATGACACTACAAAAATAACCTACAATAATAATTTGGATAAATGACCAACATTTTAAAAGAGAGACTACCATCACCTCAGAATCTTGGGCGCGCCGCCTGTAAGCTCCGAGGGAGAGGGTAGCCCCATAATTTGGCCTATTTCAAAACAAATGACAAAACAAAGATGACCTACAATAATAATTTGGATAATGACCGACATTTCAAAAGAGAGACTACCATCAACCTCAGAAACTTGGGCGCGCCGCCTGTAAGCTCTGAGGGAGAGGGTAACCCCATATTTTGGCCTATTTCAAAACAAATGACAGTACAAAGAAGAACTAAAATAATAATTTGAATAATGACCGACATTTCAAAAGAGAGACTACCATCACCTCAGAATCTTGGGCGCGCCGCCTGTAAGCTCTGAGAGAGAGGGTAGCCCCATAATTTGGCCTATTTCAAAAACAAATGACACTACAAAAATAACCTACAATAATAATTTGGATAAATGACCAACATTTTAAAAGAGAGACTACCATCACCTCAGAATCTTGGGCGCGCCTCCTGTAAGCTCTGAGGGAGAGGGTAGCCCCATAATTAATTTGGCCTATTTCAAAAACAAATGACACTACAAAAATAACCTACAATAATAATTTGGATAATGACCGACATTTCAAAAGAGAGACTACCATCACCTCAGAATCTTGGGCGCGCCGCCTGTAAGCTCCGAGGGAGAGGGTAGCCCCATATTTTGGCCTATTTCAAAACAAATGACAGTACAAAGAAGAACTAAAATAATAATTTGAATAATGACTGACATTTCATAAGAGAGACTACCATCACCTCAGAATCTTGGGCGCGCCGCCTGTAAGCTCTGAGGGAGAGGGTAGCCCCATAATTAATTTGGCCTATTTCAAAAACAAATGACACTACAAAAATAACCTACAATAATAATTTGGATAATGACCGACATTTCAAAAGAGAGACTACCATCACCTCAGAATCTTGGGCGCGCCGCCTGTAAGCTCCGAGGGAGAGGGTAGCCCCATAATTTGGCCTATTTCAAAAACAAATGACACTACAAAAATAACCTACAATAATAATTTGGATAAATGACCAACATTTTAAAGGAGAGACTACCATCACCTCAGAATCTTGGGTGCGCTGCCTGTAAGCTCCGAGGGAGAGGGTAGCCCCATAATTTGGCCTATTTCAAAACAAATGACAAAACAAAGATGACCTACAATAATAATTTGGATAATGACCGACATTTCAAAAGAGAGACTACCATCACCTCAGAATCTTGGGCGCGCCGCCTGTAAGCTCTGAGGGAGAGGGTAGCCCCATAATTAATTTGGCCTATTTAAAAAAGAAATGAAACTACAAAAATAACCTACAATAATAATTTGGATAATGACCGACATTTCAAAAGAGAGACTACCATCACCTCAGAATCTTGGGCGCGCCGCCTGTAAGCTCTGAGGGAGAGGGTAGCCTCATAATTTGGCCTATTTCAAAAACAAATGACACTACAAAAACAACCTTCAAAAATAATTTGTATTATGACCGACATTTTAAAAGAAAGACTACCTTCACCTCTGAATCTTGGGCGCGCCGCCTGTAAACTCTGAGGGAGAGGGTAGCCCTATAATTTGGCCTATGACACTACAAAAATCACCTACAAAAATTGTTTGGATTATGACCGACATTTCAAAAGAGAGACTACCTTCACCTCAGAATCTTGGGCGCGCCGCCTGTAAGCTCTGAGGGAGAGGGTAGCCCTATAATGTGGCCTATTAATTAAGTAAAAAGCAAGTAACAATACAAAGGTAACCTGAAATAATAATTTTTGGATTATGATTGACATTTCAAGGAGGCTAAAATGACTGATATAGAAACCATACTGTATCTGTGACGTTGATTATACAGATCGCCCACGCGAACACGAAGATGTTGAAGTGGAAGCTAGAATATCTGGAGTAGTCCAGCGTCTTGGGCTCCTTCCAGCGAATAAGATTTTGGCGGGATTTCGACAGTGCTTGGCGGGCTTTTGGAGAGTTATTTGTCACTGAGGCACATCGACGCTTACATCGTCTTAAGGCAGAGAAAAAGACTTGAATCCTTCGCCGTTTGATCAAAAGGTAGTCCATTGAATCAGATAATCGGTGTTGCTGTTCCTCAAGGGGATGTGAAGTAGAGCTCGAGCTCTCGCCTTCGTTTTCTCCGGCGACTATAAATGTGCATTGTTGACGGCTTTTCTCAAACGTTCAAATAGAGAAGATTTAAAAATTTCTTTGGTCAGGGTCTTTTCCAAGCCGAGTTCCTTCCAAACCGGAGAAAGATGTGCCAGCAGATAGTGTATTCCTACTTGCGGCTCCACAGTAAAAACTTGATACGCCGACTCGCTGTTTTCGCTTCGAAGGTCACCAATGTTGACACGGCATACCACTCTTGGCAGAAGTTAAATAAGCCATCGGAGCACTATTTTCTTAAAAGAAAGCACTCGAAAAACCATTGAAAGCGTATCAAGCCTATTTGAATCCAAATGCGGCGAGAAAACTGTAGTTATCAATTGCGAAGCCAGAGGCGCGAAGATCGACTTCCAAATTTTCAATCGACCGTGAAATGAATTTATAATATCCAAATAGTCTGATCAAATTTCGCGTTTCCTTGAGATGTCTGGTTCGTTTAATCAGAAGTACAAAGTTCCTTGACAGGCAATGTGTCCGGCGCTCTCCAAAGGTGTCTGGAGGAATACTTAAAACTAATTACCTTGTCTGTTATTGGAAACCGATTTGCGGTGGTTGCTGTGGAGATTAGGCCTCCTCCTGCGCGCACTAAAATCGGGCCTCTGGCCTGTTATGACTGGCATAGACCCTACGGTGGAATGTGTCACCATTGCAAGTACGGCGTTTAAAGTTTTCCAGACCAAGTTTTTGGAGCCGTACACGATTGCCTTGGAACCTCTCGGCGGATGGCGCCACAACCAGTAGAACCAGAGTGTGGAGGCCCTGCAGTGGCTAGAATTTGAAAATGCCAAGATTGGTGGTGGTATTCAGGTAACTATTAAGAATTTTAGAATTTTAAGATGCAGTCAAAGTCTACACTTAAGAAAAATTAGTTGCAGTGTTTTACTGCAAATTTCAAGTCGTGAAATGTTTTCGACTGTGCAAACACATTTGCACGCTACAAATCAAAAATTAGAAGGAAATGTATGGGAAATATACCTAAAAATTCTGCAGATTTTAAAATAAACTTGCAGTGTTTTTCTGCAAATTTCAGTTATCGAAATGATTTATACTGTGCAAACGCAAATGCACGATCGAAATCAAAAATTATAATCTGCGGACCGCGCAGGAAACAATAACACTATGTTTCTCTTTTGCAGCATGTACGAAATTCATTGAATGGGGAAGCCAAAGTCATCACCCCAGCCCAATCTTACAACGTGGATGGCTATCACGCTGCCAGCAATACGGTCTACGAGTACCAGGGTTGCATCTTTCACGGCTGCAGACGTTGTTATCCAAAGCAAGGACACATGAAGCGTTTCTGCCATCCAGATCGAACCGTGGACGAAGTCTATGAGGCAACCCTCAAGAAAACGGCCATCCTCCGTGACGCAGGGTACAACGTGGCTGAAATGTGGGGGTGTGACTGGACCAAACAGAAAGAAACCGATCCCGAGCTCGCAGAATTCCTTAAAAACTTCGAATTTGTCCCACCGCTTGAGCCGCGAGACGCGTTCTTTGGGGGTCGAACGGGCGCTGCGACCCTGTACGCCAAAACAGCAGAAGACGAAGAGATTTCCTATGTGGATTTTACAAGCTTGTATCCGAGTATTAACAAGTACGGTGTCTACCCTGTGGGATTCCCGCGAATTATCTATCGTCCAGAAAACCAGAACATTAACGATTATTTTCGTCTCGCGCAAGTCGATATCCTGCCTACTGAACGCTTGTTCCACCCCGTTCTACCTGTCAGGGCGGGGGAAAAACTTACTTTTCCTCTTTGCAGGTCCTGTGTTGCAGAAGAGATAGCGAATCCCCTGCTAGAACGAAGCAATATGTGTGGTCACACACGCGAACAGCGCATGTTGAAAGGGACTTGGTGTACTCCGGAACTACAGAAAGCGGTGGAGAAGGGGTACCAAATCCTAAAAATACATGAAGTCTGCCACTTTCCCGAAGAAAATAGACGCGAAGGCCTTTTCGCAGGGTACGTGAATACCTGGTTGAAGCTGAAACAAGAGAGCGCCGGATGGCCTGCAGGTGTGGAAACCCCAGAGCAGAAAGCAGAGTACGTAAAGCAATATGAAGAACACGAGGGGATTAAGCTGGATCCTGAAAAGATTGCTGTGAATCCAGGCAGAAAAAGCATTGCGAAATTACTTTTGAACAGGTAACTAATCTTTTTTCACACTTAAGAAATTTAGTTGCAGTCAAAGTGCGCATTTTAAAAATTTAACTTGCCGTGTTTTACTGCAAATTTTAATTCGTGACATGTTTACTACTGTGCAAACACAATTGCATGCTACAAATCAAAAACTAGAAGGAAATGTATGGGAAATATGCCTAAAAAGTCTGCAGATTTTAAACTTACATTGCAGTGTTTTTCTGCAAATTTCAGTTATCGAAATGATTTATACTGTGCAAACGCAAATGCACGATCGAAATCAAAAATTATAATCTGCGGACCGCGCAGGAAGCAATAACAAACTTATAATTTTTCTTTCTTTTTCAGTTTATGGGGAAAATTTGGTGAGCGACAGAACAAACCAGTGACTCACTGTATCACCCAACCCTCACATTTGTTCCAGCTGTTAGAAGACCCGGTGAATGAGATTCACAGTGTACGTATCTGCTCTGAAGATGTCATGGAGTTAGTGGTGACCAAAGCGGAAGACGAATAACAGCGTTCGTTCAAGCAAAACGTGTTCATCGCGGCCTTCACGACTTCGCTGGCACGCCTAAAGCTCTATGATGCCCTTGATTCTTTAGGTGATCGAGTCTTGTATTACGATACAGACTCGGTCATTTATAAAACCAAGCGGGGTTAAGACAAGCTACCGCTGGGTTCGTTTTTGGGGAAATTCACAGACGAGATTGACGGAGACGTGATCGTGGAATTTTGCAGTGGCGGGGCGAAAAACTACGGGTACCTGACCAAGAAAGGTAAAGTCGAATGTAAAGTACGTGGGTTTTCGCTGAATTATGAGACGAAACAAGTCTTGAATTACCAGACCATGAAAGAAAACATTCTGAAAGAATTGGACGAGCCCTTGGAAAAAGCGCGCCGAATGGCTATTACAATTCCCGATTTTTTCCAAAAGGATCAAGTAACCAAGTAAATCAAGCTTACGGAACGTAAAAAACATTATCAACTGGTGTTTGATAAGCGTGTGATTGACCCTGCCACTCGTTCTTCCACACCGTACGGATACAACTGGTTCGGTGCCGAAGTGGAACTTTTAATGGACTTGTAAATAGTGCGGGTACGGTTAGCTTCGTAGCGCCAACCCGCTTTAGCTTTTGTATTCGGTTTTTATAGGGGTACAGTAGCTTGGAAGCGCGAACCCCTTGCATGCTTTGTTTTGAAATTAAATTAGGGTTTGTAACATTTCATCGAAGGGAGGTGAAATTACGAATAAACTAAGTTCGGGACACAATTGAATGGTGTGGTTTCTGTTTTTGTATAAATAGAGGGCAGTATGGTTAGTCAAATTACTTTTCGTAAGATGTCGAACATTTATTTGACCCTCGTAAGCGATGTCACCAAAAAATACACAAGTAATGTGGCCAATCAGTTTAAAGTCAAACCTCAGTTAAGATTACCCGGGGAAGGATGGAAAGTGTCAGTGGCTGGAGCTATTTTACCAAAAATGCCTTTGTTCAAAGAATTACAAAGTGCGAACGTAAATTTTATCGAATTATGGGGTGAAACTGAAAAAGCAGGACAATCCGATGCGCGGCAAAAGGGTTATGTGAAAGCAACCGATTTACGTGAATGGGAGAAAGCAGAAACATGTCATACAGGGGAAGAATTTCTCAATACTGTAAAACATAGACTAGAAGAAACAGCGCATGCTAGTTTGGATGACGGATTTAAGTTTAGTTCAGCGCGTTGGATTAACTTAGCCTGGGACAAAAAAGGAGTGCATCCGGAACTGGTCTTAACAAACACTACAACAAGTAATTTAATTTATATTTACAAACCGTTCGCCAAATCTTTGCGCTGGATAAATCCTAAGACAAATCAACATGATAGCATGGGACCAAATTTGGTACATAGCTACCCCAATCACACTAAAGGAGCCAGTTCCTTGGAGACGGGAAAACCCACCCAAATACTTGGCAATTGGCTTCATTTAAGTACTCTCTCCGATTGGCGTTTTATTAACCTCAATCAATGTTTTAAAGATGCCTTAAATCTTCACCCCCGCCCGCTTACCGTGACCGCCAACGTGACTGCCAACAAAGAAACCGTCTCGCAGTCACTGGATCAAGTGTACTACGCGCCTCAAGGAAGACAACGCTATGCGTTTACTCCCGTTCAAGAAACCTTTCAAGAGGTACAAGACAATCATTGGGAAGAAGTAGAAACTACCCTGAAAGAATTGGATGGGACACTAGTTCAATTTAAATCGGATAGTCAGTGCGTGATTCGACTACATTTTAAGAAAGAATAAGACACAATTCAATTGTAACAACAAATTTTTATTAAGTGAATAAAAAAACAAACAGAATTACAGCTTAAGTTTGCGTTTTGTCTGCATAATGGCTTTGACGATCCGTTCTTGTTTGGTTTTCTTCCCTGGGAGGTTTTTAATAGCGCGTATCATTTTATCGTCCGCTTTCCACTTGTCCTTTAAACTTTTCGCTTTGTAATAATCGATGTCATGGATTTTCGCTAATTCGTCTAATCTATTGACGCCTCGGTCACCCCTCTTCAGTCTTTGTTGAAGCCGGGTCCCTGGACCAAGGTAATTTGCTTTAGGCCAATGAAACTCTTTGCCTGTTTTTTCAATTAATTTTTGAATATCCAACGCAGCCCCACGCTGACCACGCTTTTTTCCTTTTTGCGGTCTTTTTCTGCGAACCTTTCTTTTACCAGTCTTTGCCATGTAATCTTCTTTTCGCTGGTGTCCCAAACGGTTTCCGGTTTGAATCCGGGGCGAGTTTCTTTAAAGCTCTTTCTTTAGCCATTTCAGCAGCTCTTTTTGATGCCTCGGCAAATTTTTTTTCAATACTCTCCCGAGCTCTTTGAAAAGGGGATTTAGCAGCAACGCCTCCTTCTTCCGCTGTACTAGAAACACTGGAAGGAGGGGAAGGAGGGGAAGGAGTCTTTTTCTGTTTAGGAGTCTTGTATCCAGAGGAAGGCGTCTTTTTCGGGGTTTTGGGTAACAGCCGCTTTGCCTTGGATCCGGTCTTAAACGTTAACTTGGGTTTTTTACTCGTAGAAGGACTTTGTTTGACCACAGGCGTTTGTAACGCTGACTGAGGGGTGACCGGTTCTGCTTTCCTTTTTATAGCCTTACTGATTTTTGAAATGTTTCCCATAAAATGTTGTAACGGCCCTTCGGCTAAATTTTCATCATCACTGTCGTCTTCATCGCGACTTATTCCTTGTGTTCCTCCTGGTTGACGAATTTTCTTGACCCATTGTTGTAATTCTCGGTTGACTGATTTTAAACGAGGTTCTTTCCATGTATCCGGGGCAGGACTCTCCAACAAAAGTTCTTTTTGAACGGCTAAACCTGCTGCTTTGGTTAAACGGCTATCGTCTAAAAGATTAGATTTACATTTATCTCGCAAACGTAAAAATTGCACTGAGTTTTCAATCGGTGTGGATGAAATAGCGTCCATGCTTGCTAATGAAAATAAGAGTTAAGCCTTGTCTTTTTATATTGGTTTGGGTCTTTATCTCTCTTTGAGTTTTTGTCGAAGCTCTTTGATCATTTGTGCTAGTAGAAGCAAATAGTCTAATAGACAAAGAAGTTGTTGTAACAATTTACGTTTCATGACTGATATTGCCTTTTAGCACAGTGATAACAGCGATGTGATTCTTTCCACGCGCCAGCGCCAATCTGAGTACTCATCAAATGTTTGCGCTTTTTTATACTCTGACGAGGGTTGGCAATGAGTCGGAGAGATTGACGAAAGGGTTTTAAACGGCTCACTGTTTTTCTCCCAGGTTTAACACTCCCACGCAATGTGTTCATCACTAACTCACTCACGGCATTAATTTGATCTGCATTCGCATACCGTAATTTTTGTTGCCGCTTATTTTGGTTAGCTTCTTTTAACACATCGTTTAAAAAATGACTCTGTCTGGCCTTACGCCCTGTCATGTTTATTTCTTTCTTTGTGTTCGTTGACGTCTCTTCCTTTTATACTTCTTTTTCTCTAACGCTTGGATTGCTTTCCTAGTACCAAATTTTGTTAATGCACTTAAACCTCCTAACGCAACCGCTTTTCCTCCAGCCGCTAAAGCTGGAATCGCTGCGGCTAACATGGGAGCAATCCCGCCTCGTTGCCTTCCTACCCCTGGTTTACCTTTTCTTCTTTTTGGTTGTCCTTTTCGTTTCATGTTTAAATTTGCGTTTGTTTGAGAGTGAACGGCTATTTATATCTTCGTCAAAGGTATGAACACGCGTAGCTCCCTCTTCTTTGGTTAAATGACTCCAAATGCGAAAACAGTCATCGGAGGCAGGATGTAAATCTAACATAAAATACCCAAAAGGACGGGAGGTCAGCTTTAAAAACAATTTGAGTACTTGACGCCATTTTTCAGGGTACACTTGAAGCAGTAAATGTCGAATACCTGTCTTATATCCCTGGGTGATTTAAAACAAATCACATAGTGTGCATTGCGGTTAATCGTTTTCGCAAACTTGCCTGGGGGAAAGAGATCTTGTGTAATATAAAGAGCGGTAATGCCTCGATGGTGAGAATCTTTTGTAAATAAATCCAACACCCGTTTATCTTACACGTATACACTTATACGTTATCTTTTATACCTTTCAACGCTTGTTTCCCTAAAAAGGCCCCTAATTTGATAAAATTAGGAGAAGGACCAGACAGCCCCATGGCAACTCCCTCGGCTATTTTATCTACCAAACGGGGTTTTCGCCTAAATCGTGCACCCCCTTTTTGACTTTTTCGTTTTTTTACTCGTTGTTTTCGCTTTCGGGCCATAGTTGTTGATACAATCGCGGTGAGTTCAACTGAATGAGTAGAAGTATCTGATCTTTCAAATGGGTTTCACCTATTCCTTTTATATGATTTTTTAAGTCCCACCACAACTGAGCTTGCACTAAACATCGTACAAATTGCCAATGATACCCATCCCACAGATCTGCTGGATCCAGACAGAGTTTGATCCGTTCTTGTTTGTGATCTTTCCAATAAGACCATTCTTTTTCTAACACTGCATGGAGCACTTTTTGAACATCCCCCGTAATATCATGATAAAAATGACACAGTCAAAAGTAACACACAATTTTATTCATGAATGAAAAAAGAAGAACGGTTTACATTAGATTGCTCATACTCGGTTAGCTCTGTTTTAATAAGACGTTGCGGTTGGTCTGCGACTCGCTTATCATTTAACACTAAATTATTAGAATGCCACTGGGCTAAAAAATCTTGAAAAGAGGCATGTCTTGCTTTTGCTTTTAAAAAGAAAAGGGCATAATGCCCACACGTACAACTATCCATGGCTTGTGAAGTCTGATCACTGCTAATGATTTCTTTCCACTGGCTCAACCAAGCTTGTAAGGTAGGATTTTTGTAGGTAGAAAGAGGTAACCCATAACTGTCAAAGACTTCACATGTAGTTCCTTCGGTCCAAAGGGCTAACCAATGTTCACCCGGCTGACTTGCGGGATCAGTGTTGACAATAAAAGCATTC